AGCTGATGGGGTGTTGTTTTATCTGATTCTTCTCATTGGCAGTGGCGGTCCTTTTTAAAACATCATTCCTGATAACATTTGACCTGGTGTTGGGCCATTCCCTGTCTGCGTGGCGTGCTAACCCAGGCGGCCTTTAAGAGGTCTGCTGACAGTTCGCCAGTACTTGACACTTTCTGAGTTGGTAGCTTTGCCATCAGTGTCATCAAGGTCCGATTGCCTCAAAGGCGTGGTCTTGTGTCTGGTCTATAGTTTTGTTATCACATGGTGAAATTTCAAAGGTAGCATTTGTCCAGAGAGTAGCACATGCACATAGAACTGAACTATTCCCATGCAGGTTTATCCCTGTACAACAAAGTTCCTGGAGGTGCAAAGAGGATGCACCTAGCACGAGGTGGTCTGTCATCATTGAAGCTGCTTGGCTCTCAACAAGACGGTGATGCATAAAAAATGATGTTGTTTATGATAAAAATTTCACAGCAATTCATGTTAAAAATAATAACAACTTGAGTTTTTTGTACGCTCGTTTTGCTTAGTCGCATTGCTATGCCGTTTATTGTGTTACATAGGTCATATCGGTGCGTTGCAAATGTCCAAGAACTGTTAAGGAGCTTGTCAATAATGCATAAATCTAGCCAGTATTCTAACGCACGTGTTGTGTAGGGAACCATACACTGCATACTTAGTCCATGAACTAGTGATGGCTTTGAGTAGAGTGGCAAGTGATGACAGTGATAATGCTGTAAGTAGGGTGTTGAGATGTGTGCTCAGATGCTCCAGTTTGGATGAAATACGCCTCACCAGGTGCATTTAGGAATAGCCATTATAGAAGCACCAAAACTGCAACTATTTTTTATTGTTTACATAACACTGCGTACATATATTCTCAAAGGGATAATTAAATAGTGCATCCACAGCCCCCTGTAATCATACATGATTTAAATTGGGAATAACACATTTCTAAAATGTCCAAGGCTACAGTAGCTTGGATCCAGCTACCATTTATCAGTGAATTACCACACAGAACGTGGTTGTTTCAGCACCAGTGCTAACGCCCTGCGTCCGTTTAACTGGATCGAGCTGCGCGTGGCCGGCCATGCTCTTGTGGCGTCTAGGCTAGTTACCCAGGCGCTGCGACCGACGGTCCTACTGCCGGTGCCGGCGGTGGCCGCTGCGACCGGCGGTCCTACTGCCGGCGCCGGTGGTGGCTGCTGCGACTGGCGGTCCTGTGGCTGCGACTGGCGGTCCCACTGCCGGTGCCGACGGTGGCCGCCGCGACCGGCGGTCCTACTGCCGGCGCCGGTGGTGGCCGCTGCGACTGGCGGTCCTTCTGCCGGCGCCGGTGGTGGCCGCTGCGACTGGCGGTCCTACTGCCGGCGCCGGTGGTGGCCGCTGCGACTGGCGGTCCTTCTGCCGGCGCCGGTGGTGGCCGCTGCGACTGGCGGTCCTACTGCCGGTGCCGGTGGTAGCCTCTGCGACCGGCGGTCCTACTGCCGGCGCCGGTGGTGGCCGCTGCGACTGGCGGTCCTTCTGCCGGCGCCGGTGGTGGCCGCTGCGACTGGCGGTCCTTCTGCCGGCGCCGGTGGTGGCCGCTGCGACTGGCGGTCCCGTGGTTGCGACCGGCGGCCCCACGACTAGCGGCCCCGCGACCGGAAACCCCGCGGATGCGACCGGAGCCCGCGAATGCGACCGGAGCCCCGCGGCTGCGACGGGAAACCCCGCGGCTGCGACAGGGAACCCCGCAGCTGCGACCGGAAACCCCGCGGCTGCGACCGGGAACCCCGCGGCCGCGACTGGCAGACCTGCGGCTACGTTCGCTGGTTGAGCCTGGCCAGGTTTGTGCACTCTATTGCGACGGGCTTTTGTGGTACCATTGCCCGCGCGACTATTCCCAACATTTGATGTCGATAAAACCGAGCCTTTGGTGCGTAAATTGGCAACAGAAGTTAGGGCTCTCCTGTCATAGGTTGCCATGCAATCGAAAAACTGGTTGGATGTTGTCTTCTTGGGTTTTCTTGTCACTGGGCTATAACTTTCTTCTCAAATGGTATGTGCTTTGGTGCTGTCTAGCGGTGCAGACGTAATTAAAAACCTTGTTTGAGTGAGTGTCCCACTTTTGGGGCAATGTGCAAAAACATTCTCTAGGGGAACATCAGGGCCAGTGACGTCTAACAATAGCACTGGGCAATGCCATTGCAGCACCGTCAAAACTTGGTAAGGATAACATTTTTAATCATTTTCATTCCAAAATACGCTGTCAACGACTTGTAGTAGCAATACGCCTCTCTTCGGTGTCGTCATGACAACCGCCGCGGCACCTCTGCATTGCGAAGATAAGAACGTTCGTCATTGGCCCAGGGGACGGCAAGGGTCTGTTACCGGGAAGCGCATTGGTTGGAGTTTAACCAGTCCGTCACCATGAGCCATGTGGTACTTCCACACCCACAGCCAAAGCACGCATCGAAAAGAGCCACTATGGTAAACGCCATAGGGGAGAAATCAAGGTCATAGTATAACGTGTCTTCGAAATCGCGGGGTAATAGCTTCCTCTTCGCTCATCTTTTGATCTCAACGGAGTTTTTCAAGTACGCGTAGCATTTATTACACAATCACTTTGACAAACGTGTATGTTGCAAACATAAAAGAACGCAAATAGCAGAAAAGCAAAGCGACTGAAATGCATTACTTTCATAGTGTAAGGCAAGGACCCCGTGAGGTTTCCCCTGCAGGAGTGGTCACTTCAAATCCAAATTCTGAGCTGTTCAGAAGAATTTCGAGAAACTGGTATCATGGAGACAATATGGTATCAAGTGTCTGATCTAACAACGAGTGAAAAACGTGCAAAACGTGGCATACTTCCTTTGAGAACATTAACACGTGCCCGGGTGGCCGGCTGGATACCCTTCGCTCGGTTGGGGGGGTCCCCCTCTCTGAGATCGCCCCTCCCCCTCCCCTGAGATCTCGGAAAATAAGAAAGCTGGAAACACCAAATTAACCTGTACGTGAGCTCACTTAGGTCAAGGTTTGAGATTCCTAGGTCAAATAACCTTTCTTCCTTCTTTCTTCCTAAACGTTTAGGTCAAATAAGACCAAACAAGGTCAAATTCTAGGGTAGTCTCCAAAGTGCCCCAGAACCTAGATAACTTTTTTACGCCGTCACCCAAGAACAGGTAACCAGGAGTGCCCCTCCCTCAATCCCAGCAACGCAGTAAACCGTACGTTGACACCAGAAAACATAAAATCAAGTCGCGGCACTCCCAGCTAGGAAGGTGAAACAAACGTAAAAAAGCAGGCGAAGAGGTGGAGCAGACCCGAAGGAATTGTGTTATGTGATAGGTATGGAAAAATCATAGATGAAAAGGCTTAGAGTAGTCATTAGCCAAAGTCAGCTAATGACAGCCTGCTATAACCGCCAAATAATCTATAACCACTCAATTCACCGTGTTAGTAAGGGCTATACAGTCACACAAGTCGGGGAGGGCAATTACCTGGTCATCTCTGTGCTGGGTTTTGAGCTGGATGTCCAGGGAGTCCACCCAGCTAAGCAGAGCTTGTTGCTGGGAGAACTCCCCGAGCCAGCGCCGTGAATTTCGGTATATGTGCATGACTTTATATCAGAAATTGGTTATGAAACATGGAAACATGAAGGAGGTCAAAAATGAAGTGCATTGGATATGTACAGCACAGGGATGGCAATGTCTTCAAATATGTTGGTTACGTTAATATGTATTCACAAAATGCTTTTGTTCGCCTCATATCCATGTCATTGGATTCGTAGAGATTGTAAATTAAATCGAATGATGCAGGGAGCTGTGAAGTTAGAAATGTGTGCATCACAATTAACATTTGAGATTTAGCAATATCCGATAGTTTCAAAATTTTGTATCGTTTAAAGATTGGCTCTGAGCTTTGTGGGGATACACATTTTCTATAAGACGCACAGCCTTTTTTGCAAAATTACCAACCGATCTAGTTGAGAAGCATAACTTATGCCCCAAATCAAGCAGCAGTAATTTAGATAAGGAAGAATCAAAGTGTTATAGAGTAGATGTGACATTGTTTTATCAATGAAGTACCTAACCCTACTTATTATTCCAGTATTTCTACTTACTATGCTTGCAACAAAACTAGTGTGGCTTGTAAACTTGAGAGATTTGTCAATGATTACACCAAAGTATTTAATTTATTTTTTATCTTCAATAGGTGAATTATCAATTTGCATATTTAGTCGGAAATGCGAAGAAAGGGTTGTGTAATGCTGTGTGAATGTTTTTGGTACGTTCAGGGAAAGAAAATTAGTAGCAAACCAAGAAGTTATTAGAAGCAAAAGCGTATTGACATTGTTTTGAAGTTCGACAATACTTTTATTTTTGAAAACAATCGCAGTATCATCAGCGTAAGACAAATCATGTTACTGCTTAACTTAGGCAAGTCATTTACGTTCATTAAAAAGAGGATTGGGCAGAGAATGGATCCTTGGGGTACCCCCATTGTTACGTTTTTCATTGTTGATAGATAAATCCTGATTTTTACACATTGAGTTCTGCCAGACAAATATGAAGAAATGATTTCATGAGATTTTCGTCGAATACCATATTTAGTAAGTTTACCTAAAAGAAGGTTAATGTTTACACTGTCAAAGGCTTCTTTCAAATCTAAATACAGACCAAACACATATTCCGTTTTCAAAAGCCTTAGTGATAGTTTCCTGCAGAAGAAGAATTGGCATGTAAGTACTTTTGTTCTTCTGAAATCCGACCTGATTTTGGTGAATTAGGTGGTTTTGGTTTAGATGACGGACGAGTCTATTATATATAAGTTTTTCGAGAATTTTGGACATAAACGGCAAAATACTGATAGGGCTGTAGTTATTTACAAATTGCGAGTCCCCACTTTTAAAGATGGGTTTAATGACGGCTTTTTTGAAAATGCCTGGAAATATCCCGAGGACAAACAGCTGTTGAAAAGATGGATAATTGCTGTGAGTATAACCTTATGAGATCACTTGCATATTTTGAATTAATATTGTCGACTCCAGCTCCGACGTTGTTTTGCCCATCGATTAGAAGAATTAATTCCTGTTCATTAGTGGGGGCAGATCCATTTCATTTTCTACATTTGTGATGAGCTGGAGGGGGTCGAAAGACGATTTAGGAGTCCTGTCTTTTAACTGTTGTCCAATCTCACTGAAGAAGTGGTTAAATGATTCTGCGATATCTGGATCGTCTATGATAATTTTATCATTAGTCCCAAAAATCCTGGTTGGGTCTACATCCTTTTTTGTTTTGAATTGATGAGAGTGTGTAATGTATTCCACGTTTCCTTGGAGTTCCCAGAATGTTTACGGAATTCATTACTGTCATATTTATTTTTGGCTAGCCTAAGAGATGCAGTTAGAATGCTACAGTAGGAAGTGTATGTTGCATTATTTTGGGGACTGGGGTTCTTCAATTTCTGTTCAAATAACTTGCTTTCACATGTAGTTGATAGAAGAAGTGCAGGTGACACCCATGGTTCGCATGAGCTGGTTTTTCTAGAAATGTACCTTGTGTGAGAAAACCTGGTGATCCTGGCATTGTAAATATATACAATTTGATTTGCAATAGCATCAGGTTCTGGCTCATTTTCAATATCAACAAGATGATCAACAAGGAATTGTTCAAATTCTTCCAGCCTTCTGTAATCAAATGTGGTAATGGGTGTTTGAACATCAGGGGAGTGTGGGTGTGAGGCATAGTTCATGGAAGCAAAAATAGGGAAATGATCAGATAAATCATGAAGGAGAATGCCTGTATGCATCACTTTTAATAAGACATTGCAGAATATGTTATCTAGAAGAGTACATGATGGATAGCAAGATTGAGTTGTCCTGGATATTGTAAGAAAGAAGCCATTTGAACACATGTTAGTGAAAAATGCTTGCACATTAGGATTGATATCAAGTGAAAACAGATCAAAGTTGAAATCACCCATAATACATGTTACTTTGTCCATTTTTTAAAGCCAAATTAGGCATTGCTCTAGCTCTGAGTTGAAGTGGTGTTTGTCAATGTTGGGTGACCTATAAATTTGGCAAATGATAATATTAGCATTATCACAGAGTAGTTCAGCACAAGCCACTTCAGTTGTAGAGAAAACTGGGTTCCAAAGTTGTATAGGATGAAGATGATCAGCAATGTATACTGCTGATCCACCACCTACCCCTTTTGATCTGCTGCAGTAAAAAGCTTGGTATCCAGGTAAGTCATAATGAGATTCCAAAGCTGGAGACAGCCATGCTTCAGATATAGAAATAACATGCCATGTTATATCAGTCTGGGCAAGCAGACTACTTAAATCATCCTGCTTCTTCAGGATTGAGCAAATGTTAACATGCATAAGGTTTAGTGCAGTGATGTTATGTGGAATAACAGTTTTTACCTTTTCAGGTAAATAGAATGTGCATGCTTCTCTTACTTTTTCATATCCATCATATGATAGTGAAGGTTCACTACCATCAATGTTTGAAGCAAATGGATTAAACACCTTACTATTTGAGGTTGAACCCAGATAGTAAGGTGTTGATGGAAAGGAAGGTAAAGAAATGTGGATGAGCTAGAATAAAGGTCTTAGAGGGAGTTCTGAAAAGGGAGACTATTTTAATCAGTTTAGGATGTTTTTGAATATTATGCTCAAGACTTCAAAATGAGAAAACATGTGCTGAATGATAGATGCCAAAAACAGATCATGTTGATGGGACTTTTCTGCTAGTCACTGCTTTAGCATGCAGGCATGACAAGAGAACATGGGCAATGAGCTTGACAAGTATCTAGAATAAACAAGCACATTATTGTGAGCAATGTAAGCCACCAAGCCAGGCACCACTGGCAAATTCCTCTTTACTAAAAATAAGGCATTACAATACAGTAAGTTGTATGTACACTGCAGCCATGGAGTCATATGCAAGTTTTCAAGAAAATCATAAATGTATGGGTAGTTAACTGAGGAATGTGCTGGCGGTAGCCTACCAGGTGACATCACTAACCAATGGACTCACTACTTTTTAGAACTTGAGAGCCTGGTCTCAGGCCCAGCCTGCCTGCCTTCAACTGTTACAGACTCTTCAAGATTAGCAGCTCTGTTTAGCACATGACCAGCACGAATGCAGTTCAGGGTCTGAGAGTATATGAACCTATTCTGGCCTGCTACACTTCTGTTCACCAAAGAGGATAGTATGGGTGAGTCTGTCATGGCTTTAATGATCTGCTCACTGTGAACCATGGCTGTATGCGTGCATATCTTTTGTCACGTGAGTTCCTTGCCAGAATGATGCCATTTTTAGTGTGGAAGTTCATGACCTGGTCATTTTCACGCTTCATATGGGCAAGAACTTTGACTTGTCGAGCTCGCTTATCAGTCAGGTTTTCATGAATGATGATGCCTGGGCCATCAGTCTGCCAGAATTTAGCGTGGTAAACATTGTTCCGATCATCCATGTCACCAGCACCCTTGTTTTGCTTTTCAGACAGTGGCATGCCACCACTCCACCCTTTATGTCTACCTTGAGTTCTTCTTTGATGACCTTGAGGGCAACACTTCTGGTCTCCTCAGTTGTCTCATCTGCCTTTGGCTCAGGGATGCCATCTCCACTGAGGATGAGGGAAGACTTACGCGAGTATTGCTCCGTGTCATCGACGACAGCCTCCAGATGTTTAACCATTTCACGAAGCTCAGAGTTTTCCCGTTTCAGTTTCTGAGTTTCATCTCTCAGGGAAGCTATCTCACGTTTAAATAGATCCGTTTCTTTTCCCACCGCCTCAGCTACGACATCCTTGATTTGTTCCATCTCCCCTCTGAACCCCGGAATGAACTGGTTTGGTTAAGTTACGTTAGATTTAACTATATCACATGAAAAAGTGGCAAAGTACACCTACTTGATTACATGCAAAGAAAAGAAAGAATTTACCTGAAGATATACGTTAGCGCCCTAGTACAAACCCTGCCTAGATCACTGAGTTTCGTTCGATCCACATGAGATGCGTCTCGTTCGTCACAACAAGGCACGTCCGCACACATCAAGGTCTGGAACACGACTCGAACTGCTTCCAAGCAAAAGTTCACATACTAATTTAAGGTCAGTGATCTTATTTGACCTTTTAAAGGTCATGGTAACGAAATGATACAAGACTGCTATGAATTTTGCATTTGAATAAGCGACAAAGATCACGCTAGGCAGTATGCTCCTAAAAACAAGATGTCGGCCTGGCTCATCTTAGGTCAATGACCTATTCTGACTTCTTACATGTTAATAGAAGATGTATAATGCGGTTCCTGCCATCGATAAATTCGAAATGAGCACCAGAAAGTATCCGATCCAGCACGCCCTAGAGTACCAAGGCAGGTTGGTTTTAACCTTGGTCTGACCTTCATACCTGACCGTAAGGCAACTTAATTTGCTCATGTAATACTTGTTTTGCCTAAGAAGGCATCTCAAAGATGTATGGCTTCGCCAAACACTTCGTTGTTGCATCAGATTGAACGATTCTCTAGATATTGCCTTTGTTGAAACCATGGACTGACCTGACATACTGCTTTGTAGATGGAATAATCTGGGAACTGCGCTAGCTTGCACGTGTGGCTCAGTCCCAGCACCTGCCTTCGCAATGCTAGTGGGGTGCTCCTGAGCCTCTACCAGGAGACTATCATGTCAATGATCATGACTATATATGATATTCGCCTGCGGTTTCCGCAAAACAGACAAACCTATTCCACGGAACTGGCGATTGATCGTGGGACGTAACCGGTTATTTCTGCGCCTTGCATCAAATGTCGCCTTTGAATGATGGCAGGACGCACTGCTGTTGTATTAAACAACATTGTATTGTATCGAACACTGACAAACGGTCGGTGCCGGCCAAATCAATTCTCCTGACCCGCGAACACAAGACGCTTCAATCTATGCCACGTGATCTATTTCACATGGCTGTGAATGTGAAAGGTTTGGACGTTTGGACGTCCAAACCCTCTAACCTGTATTCATGAGAATGCGTGAATACAGTAGAAGATTCACGTGAATGCTTCGCAATGCTAATGGGGGCTCGTGCGCTTCTACCAGACGACATGGACGACGTTCGAAAAGCCCCTGTGGTCATGCGTAGTGCGACGTAGTGCACCGTGTTCAAAGTGCGTTTGCAGGTCTGTTGTACCGTCATAAATAAAGCAGTTGTAGTCAAGTCTTTAAAGAATGAGGGAACGACAGAGGTGAGAGCGTACTCCTATAAACACCGTATGACGTACGTCCCATGGACGCTAAGGTGTTAAGGGATTTTAAACATTCGTCGCGGAGGCTTTTGTGTGCATTCAGTATGTTACCTGTCGGTCAAATCGTATGCCTACAGATTTTCTTGGAGAGGGTACGTTGGTTACAGGGCTGTTGGTTACATGAGGATACCCAGGGTCATTTCAGGTACTTGTTTCAAGTTTGACATCGCGTGACATCAGTGAAACCGAACGTCACGATCTAGAGATGTAAAATATTTTCAGGAACGAGTTCACATGGGGCCTTGCCCACCATATTGGTGTTGCTATGTTCATCAATTTTTAGTATTTCACGGGGTTGATTGACTACCAGAGGGCATCTTATTCAAGCTGCCACCAGAGCGTATTTGAAAAAGATGAGATGTAAGCCACTTCGTTGTCTCGAAACATATCACGACAAAGTGGAAAATGTGACCGTTTATTGGACATGAGTACAGCACACCCACCTACCAACAACAAAAAAGCGCCCCACAACTTCGGCCCTGTTTGCAGTTTATCTGCTTGTCATCGGAACATCACTGCTCTTCACTTGAAGCACTAAAAGCGAAAAATAGAAAACGCCATGCTTAAACCAAACCTTGATCTAAATCCAGGCTTACAATTGTTAGAAGTAACGAAATCCAAAACATTGAGCGGGGGGGGGGGAGCTTAGAGGAAGCACGACCTCTCCGTCTGTCCTTGATAACTTACGAACCGTTTTCGCAACCAAAATCAAAGTTGAATGGTGTCGATAGTGGGCCATTTAACGATTTTGACGGCAGTAAAATTTTGGGTCAGATAAAGTATTGTGAATAAAAAATCTCACAAGGTCACATCAGGTCACGGTTGGTAAATTGTTAGATTCCGAGATGCACAACTTTAAATTCTCAAACAATGTCAGCCGGTACCTACCGATTGCAATGCGTCAGAATATGAGCGTTGAGCGTGGTCCAACGGCCATTGACCTGAATGCTCCCCTCCATTGGCCTCATGATGCATTTGGCAATGTTCAGCCGCCTCTGACTATCACGATAAATAGGTAGCCCACACGCACACCGGTATGCAGAACAGCAACACAAGCGTCTGACAGCGCACGGCAATATTCGTGCAGCCTATCGTGAAGACGTGATGACAATGATGATGACAATGATAACAATTCAGGCCTGTCTTTCTCAGCCCTCACATGGCGCCCAATTAATCACTAGAACATTATGCCAAGATAAGTAGCACTGCCGCGAACCGTGAGATGGGAATTGAGGGGAAGCGGAGCGGAAATAATTCTAAACCAAACGCAATCGGTCCCGACTCACAACGTGAATGATACGACAGTCAACGGATAACGCAAAATACGATCACGAAGTAGCAACTCACAGAACGATCTTAACGTCTGGCGTTCTACGCTAGCTGCCTCTGCATATTGTGTGCTTCCATTGTCAAGGGGTGGAGGCCAGCCGGTCACCGTGCAGCAACAGGGTGACATCGGCTACCAGACAGTGAATCGATCTGTCGCCGGTTCGGGTCAATGTTCAGGCGGCCCAGCTGGGCGAAGGCGCATCCTGGCTACGGCACACTGGGTTGCCATACCCTCGCTGGTGAGCGTCTAGTTCTGGGTGCACCATTTTCATCACCTGCGAGAATGACAAGTGGTGATTCAGCCGCCAGCCATTATTGACGCGGGAAGCAGTCAGAGTAGATTTTGTCACTAGCAACCAGTGGCGTAGGCAGGGAGTCAGGGGACACGTGCTCCCCCGTTAGGTTATGAGGAGCCTCAGGGGTCTCTCCGGACTGACGATTAAAGGCTCATTGGCGGATCTGAGAGGCCGACCAGAGGTCATACTCAAGGGCCCAGCCCGCTAGGCCAAGCACTTCAATGCCAGCCAGAGTGCCCTTTGTGCCGATCGGAGGCCACCTGAGTGAGGGCATATAGGCCTTTAAGACACCCCCAAGGTCGCACAATTAAATCCTTGTCGGCATGGCCAAGGCCCCATTTCTCAAAAGGGGACGAAGCCGGGGCAAGCGATTTACATTGGTGGGGCCCTCTCATTTGTCATGGGTCCTCAGTGTCTAAAAGAGAGCTCTGTTTTGGCGAGGGACCGAATCGGCCGGGACAGTGTTCGAGGAAGCCCGAAGGAAGTCTGGAGGGCTCACTGGGACCGACCATCAAGGACCCGATTAGAGGGCATAAGGGCTTAAAGACTTGCCGTTGTCTTATTCAGGAGCCAGGCGTGCGGGGTCAGCCCTCATGTGGCAGCCGGAATGTCATTTGCACCAATCGAGGACACCTGCATGTCCATATGGGCCTGAAGGTCCACCCAGCGGCTGTCACGGGCTGTCTGGGACCCATTTTCCAAGCAGGAAAAAGGCCTGGACCCACGATTCGCATTGGTGTGGGTTGCATTTGCATGTTCAGAACACCCTAGTAGGACTGTGACCTCAGACGCCAGTCAGAGGGCCTCCATTTGCATGTTCAGAACACCCTAGTAGGACTGTTACCTCAGACGGCAGTCAGAGGGCCTCCATTTGCATGTTCAGAACACCCTAGTAGGACTGTTACCTCAGACGGCAGTCAGAGGGCCTCCATTTGCATGTTCAGAACACCCTAGTAGGACTGTTACCTCAGACGGCAGTCAAAGGGCCTCCATTTGCATGTTCAGAACACCCTAGTAGGACTTTTACCTCAGACGGCAGTCAGAGGGCCTCCATGTGGGCCAGGACCACTGACAACGAACAGTCAAGCTGGTGAATCTCTCACCAAGCTGATGAAGCTTGTAGACTGCACTGAACAGCCAACCCTTCGCCGACGACCGTGCACTTATACCCGTCGTGTAGTCCGCCATCTTGCCGGGTTTCGGCTACACATATGATTAGCAGAAATTTCACCCTTTCCACTACTCACAATTCAAATAGACAAACTCTGTTGAGTTTGTCCATTCGAATGCGGCTCTATATTCAAGTCTCAGGAAGAGACTATACTCATCCCTGGGATAACCACCCAGAACACAGAACAACCGCAGCCCAACATCTTAGAGACCAACAAATGACTAAACACTAGCAAGCGACTCAAGACCCCAACAACCCAGTCGCCTACCGCAGCGGCAGAGGGGACCATGTCTCAGGCTTCAGCTCGTACATGCCCGCAATACCCTATCGGCCACTAGCGCCATCTGTAGAGCTCATGGTTAACTACAGCCTCCACGTAATACAATACGGGAAGTGTTCCATCGTGACTGCAGTGGCTCCGGAATACTAGCGGGTGGTTCGGTAGACTTTAGTAGACTGCACATCGCCCAGCTGTGCGGGTGAGAATCGTGTGCGACAAACCCGCTGCAGTCAGCTGATTTAGGAGTTACGAA